GCTTGTTTATAGCTGCCATCTGAGGGGGAGGCCCCTGCATCCCAGTCTAGGGTCAGCAGCTCCGCTGCACCTGCCTTTAATCCCCCAGAAGTACCTGCCATTCCAGGTTTTGAGGTGTTAGCCTCAGCCTGCCCTGGGAGGGGCGGATTTCACATAACGGGTTTCTGCAACCCGAGCGGTAACATGGTGCCCACAATGCCGCATCCTAGGCCAGTACTGACCTCTAGGGATTGTGCGTGTGTGTGTTTCACGTGTCCTCTGCCCGAGCTGCACGTGGAAGGAGTATTGCCTTCCCTCCCTCCCTGGAGAGGCTTGGTTTATATAATCTACTTGTCTCCCAGGCCCACTTAGTTATGGAAAGTAGTCAGAGGTTAGGCAGGGGGAACTGCAACCAGGTCTCAGAGCTCAGGGAGACGGGTTCTCATACGGAGAGGGGGAGGAGAGTGGGGGCCTGGGGGGCCCAGGAAGACACTGCAGAGACCCACCTGACTGGCTGACCAAACTCACACACCAGCTGGTGATCCAGAGGCTGGTGGGGCTCTTCTTCGTTTGCAGGGGTCAGGGTGGGGGCAGTGCTCATAACTGGACTGATGACCACTTGGGGCACTCTCAGAGCATGGGACAGAAGGATTTGTTGAGTAAAGAAATAGAGCAGAGACTTCTATATACTCTTAAATGGTCATTCTGACCTGATAAATTTCCCATTCTCCACTCAAGGGGTACATTCTATTAATATCTAAAGAGCAGGGAGGTATCTCTGGCCTAAAGCCAGAGCCCCATCATCCCTGGCCAGGCCTGGGGATACCAGTTCATGCTCCTCTCCAGGTTCCTTACTGTCACTAGGTGCCCTGTCCTGCACATACCACCCTTTCCAGCCCTCTTGCAGGAACTGTGTTTTTGGGCAGCTGCTTCCTAGAAAGTAATTGAAGGGGGGGAGGGCATTTTTCACTGTGGCTGGATCTTTCTTTTTTAAACACTTGCTATTACCTCTACCAGGAAAATTTTTTCCACCTTTTAAAAAAGTAGGATATAATTCACATGCCATAAAATTCACCCTTCAAAATAATATGAGTGAATGGTTTTTAGTATATTCATGAGGTTATGCAACTGTCCAATTCCAGATTGTTTTCATTACCCCCCAAGGAAACCTGAGGCCCACTGGCAATCACTCCCCATTCTGCCTCTCCCCAGCCCCTGGCAGCTACTCATTTACTTGCTGTTTCTGCATATTTGCCAATTCTGGACATTTCATAAAAGTGAAATTTAACTATTTGAGGGATTTTGATGATTAGCTTCTTTCCCTGAGCATGATGTTCTCAAGATTCATCCATGCTGCAGCCTGTATCAGAATTTCCCCCCTTTTTATGGCCATGTAATACTCCGTTGTATGGAACCACCACATATTTATGCAGCCGTCAGTTAATGGACATTTGATTTGTTTCTATTTGTGGCTGTTATGAATACTGATGCTTTGAACATTCATCCTCATCGGTCGCCAGTGGCTTTAAAAAACTTGGGCTGGCCTGGGTCAGCAGCTAATCTGATGGCAGATCATGGCTAAGCTCACGGTCTCCCTCCTTCTTCCTCTTTGGGCCTTGTGTTTGCCTCTCTTGTCACCTAGATGCCCTTGTTTTGGGGGTAGTGGGCAGCATATTGGGTTGTGTGTGTCACGTGGTACCCCCACCAGTTTGAATTTGAAGAACAAAGGGGCTGATTGAAGTAGGTCCTCCAGTGAAGCCTGTATAAATACAGTGCACCCCGTTTTATACAGGACTGAAAGTATACAGTCTGAAAGTTCTACACGGGTGCTGCAGGCATTCATTCATTTATTTGCCATGGTGCCAGTAGGCTGGGGCCCAGGTGGCCTTGTGGGTGGGACCATTCCTCTATAGCACTGGCCTTGGGGTGCTCCTGGGGAAGGGAGACCTCAGAAGTGCAAGGCTTTGTTCTGTCACCTTTGTCACTTTGTTCAGCTGATTTCTGGCCTCCCACTGGGATCCACCAGCCTTTGACCAAAGAGAACACAGGCAGAATTCCTCCACCCTTTCCTAGCACGCTGCCTGGCCCCCGCACTCTCTGTAATTCCCTCCATCTTCCCTAACCTGAGCTTCCTTCACTCTCTTCCCTCATAAACGGCCTCCTCTGGACTCTGCCAGGACTGGGAGCCTGAGAATAGGAACCAGAGCAGCCTTGTTTGTCCTGGTGCACTCAGCTCAGCCCTGAGCAGAGAGGGTCAGCGTGATGGGAGAAATGATGATGATGGCAGTAACCACACCAGAGATACTTACTGAGGTTTGCTTCATGCCAGGCACTGTACTACATTCTTTACATGTTTATCAATGAAGTTAACCCTCAGATGGACCCTAGGAGGTGACGCTATTATTTTCTCCATTTCACAGATGTGGACACTGAGGCACATAGAGGTTAGGTCACCTGTTCAAAGTCACATAACCATCAAGAGGAAGTGTGGCTCTGGAGCCCAGACTTTTAACTACTCTGGCATTTTATATAGATGCTGGGAAAGATGGAAGGTGGGAGGAGAAGCGGACGACAGAGGATGAGATGGTTGGATGGCATCACCGACTCAATGGACATGAGTTTGAGCAAACTCCAGGAGTTGGTGATGAACAGGGAAGCCTGGTGTGCTGCAGTCCATGGGGTCGCAAAGAGTCGGACACGACTGAGCGACAACTGAACTGAACTGAACATTCATACTAGTGATTTGGAGGCAATGGAAGGACACAGAAGTCAGAGCAGTGGCTTTGTTAGAAGCCCTGAGTGGTCCAGCGTGCCCCCCGGGCCACACTGAATCCTGTCAGAGAGTTGGAACTCCATGAGTCTGGGTCACCAGGGCAGCTCCCCTCTGCTGCAGCCATGGGCAGTGGGGAGGCAGGGATGCAGGTCAGAGCTCAGGACTTTGGAGCCTGGGCAGGGGAGGCCAGCACCTTGTGAGCTCGTGGAAGGCCAAGTGTCGGAACAGCTCCCTCGGCCCGGCCTCAGGGCTCAGCTCCCGGTCCAGGCCTCCTGCTTGAGAGGGAGCCTCGGCTTCCTGCCATTGTCTGTGTGGGGCCCGCCCAGTGTGTTCCTGCGGTGACCTGAGGCTGGGAGGGAGGGAAGGGGCCAGCCTGGAGCTGGTTCAGGGTGGGAGAGGGGAAATGAGAGGGGAAGACTTGGTGTTTTTCCTTGTTTGTGTTTTGTATTAAAGAAAGCAAATAATATCCTTTGAGAAAACCATTAAACAAAGCACATCCTCAGGTCGCAGGGGCCCATTGTGGCTGCCCGAGCCGGAATTCATTCATGCCTTCTCGGCCTGATTGTTGGAGGCAAGAGACAGGCTGTGAGGGAGGGACCGACAGTATAAATAATGTTAATTAAATAAATTTTGAACTGTGCCGTTCCCTCCCTGGACTCAGTAGGAGTCTTAGGGCTGGTGTCTGAAAGGCCAGGGTCCCTGTATCCTCCTGAGCCTGTTGTCCTCCCAGCGCCCTCATTCCCGCTCCAGGAAGCACCCCGAGGCTGATGGGGTTACCAGCGTCCAAGGCTGATCAGCCCTGTGGTCGGGGGCAAAGACCAGGGAAGGCAGCCCGCCGGGACCCTCCACTGTGGAGCCCGAATCCAGAGAGCAGCATGCGCCGTCCTCACTGAGGATCTGGGCCTCCGTCTCCTTGTCTATTAAGTGCAGCTAGGGGCTCACTGGCCTCTCCCTGAGCCGCCTCCAGCACACCGGGCCTGTCACACCCTCTGACCCCGTGCACGCCCACGGCCCTGTGGGCAGCGTGGGGACCATGCTCAGGCTGTGCACTCTGCATCACAACCGGTGCCCAGGTGTCCCGGGTCCAAGCCAGGCCACCCCCTCCCTGCAGACCACCAGCCTTCAAGCCCTCCCACCCTCCCCCAGCCAGACCATAATAGAAGGGCAGTGCTCTCCTGTGTCCCACCAGAACACACTTTCCTGGGGAGAGGGGAGCGATAAGAAAAGAGCTGGCTATCAGCCTGCCTTCTGCAAATAAATTCTGCCTGCCTGCTGCCTGGCATTTTACTCCATCAGCCCGGCATGGTAAGAAAAGGGTTTCTCTTCAGCCTCAATGTAAATACATTGGTGGTTCAGTTGGTAAAGAATCCACCTGCAACGCAGGAGACCCAGGTTCAATCCCTGGATCGGGAAGATGCCCTGGAGAAGGGAATGACAACCCACTCCAGTATTCTTGCCTGGAACATCCCACGGATAGAGGAGCCGGGAGGGCTCCAGTCCATGGGGTTACAAAGAGTTGGACATGATGGAGCAACTGACACTTCTTTCCAGCCTTGATGTAAACATGTATATACGTAGTTGTTATCATGATGACAATATTCAAAAGACCAACCTTAGAATTTCCCACAATTTAGCATTTAAAAAGACATTAGCTATTTGCATGTTTCCCCTAAATACACCCCAGGACTATAAGTAACAAGGATCTTTGGTTAAAAAAAAAAAACTGCATGAGGCCTCCTGGACTAGGATGAGGAGAAAACTGGGTCCTAGCGCATTCTGGCTGCATGAGGCTCAGGGTTTGCAAGGAGGCTGTGTCTCCTTGTTCCTCTCCACAGCTCAGAGAAGATAGTCACATTCCCATGGTGATAGGAGGCCTTATGTTAGAGGGTTAGCTTGTCCACCATCAGATTCCAGGATCTGATTCTCTTGCTAATTCTCTGCCACACCTTGCACCTCCTTATCCATCTCTCCTAACCTGAATGTTCTCATTTGAATGACTGGATTTGACAAAGTCTAGGGACCCTGCTGTTCTTCGGTTCTATGATTCCAGCATCATCACCTGGTGGGAAATACGTGGACTCGAATATTCTCTATTTTTCAATCTGGATTTGGCGGTCAGAGCCTAGCCTTTCCAAACTCTCGATTTCGTTTTGTTGTTGTAGATGTTGTTTTAGGTTCGTTCAGACCCGGAAGTTCTTTGCTGTCTTTCAGATTTACTGACGCCCCTCTTCCTCCCCCAACCACGCAGGGCTACCACCCGATGCCCCATGAGGTGGAGATCGCGCACACGAAGAAGCTGTTCCGGAGGAGGAGAAATGACCGAAGGTAGGAGACTCTCGATCGCTAGCTTTGGTTTTCTTTGCCTCTGCCGGCCCTTGTGTAGCTGCGGTCCTGGCCTGCGTTTTGCTTTTCCTGGTCACTAGCCGATACAATAAGAGGTGCCGTGGCTGCAGTGGGGTTGGTTACAGTGTTGGGGGGCCGCCCTTCTCTTGGGTGGCCCCAGGATTGGATCCCTGCAGGAGTCCAGGGCAGGTTTTGCAGTTGAGGAAGAGAAAAGGTCTTTGCACAGACTGGGCAGCCACAGCAGCAGTCCTCGGGGACTCTGACCTGCCGGCGTGTGTTTCGACACATGGCCTCCAGGAGGCTCTGGAGCTCACAGTTCTAGGACTCTCTGTCTCTCCTCTGCCCTGTCCCTGGCCTGTGCTGGGCTGGGCTGTGACAGCGACACACGCTGCTTCTCTCGAATGCCCTGGGGTGTGTGTATGGGGCGGCCGGGGCGGGGGTGGGGGAGTGCTCTCGTAAACTAAGGCAGAAACCGGGATCTCCCCTGGGATGCAGAGAACTGGGTGACAGCAAGGGGCCAGAAAAAGCGCCTGGGGAAAGGTCTGGATAGGAGCAAACACCTGAGGCTGGGCATCTGGGAGGCTGAACTTGTGTTTCCTAAAAGGCTGTCTAACAAGGAAAGGTCTTCAGGGTGTATTTCGAATGGAAAAGTTCAGGGGCAGAACATTTCTTTCGTATGTGGCCACTTGTGCAAAAGCAGGGTTCGAGTATTTTTCATTTGTTTGAACATGCGTAAATGATTTCTGGATGAAAATGAGGGAGGGAAGAAGACAAAGAGGGAAAGAAGGAAGGAAGGGAGGGGGGAAGGCTCTGTTTGAAGAGTTAAAACGAGGTTCTCCTCTACAGGGGATTTCTTCTTAGATAAAGGCGATAGCTTGTGATTTTACCTTTACTGAACAGAGAATGTTCCCAGAGAGCCAAGAAACAGCTCAGTCAGCTTGCTTGCTCAGAGAATTAAAAACGCCTCTTCTTGTGCAACTTCTTGGAGGCAGGGCTGCCCAGGGTCCCTGATCCCCTCCCCGCCCTACACACACATACACTAAACACACACGCACACACACGTGGGCCTTGAAAAGGGGTGCTGGGTGGTGGCCACAACTCGAGGTGGATGGCGGTCCAGTCCCCAGGAATGTCATCAGCTGGTGGATTTAGTGGAACTGAAGCATTCCCAGAGGACGGTGACTGTTCAGCCAGCTGGGAGGCAGGCAGTCCGGGCTTAGAACACAGACCCACCCGGCACTGCGTGTAGTGGCATCAGTGGGGAAAACGGAGCAGGGAGATTGGACCCAGCCTGTTCCTGGCCTGACCAGAGTGTGGTCATCGTTTTCTGTGTGCTGCCTTTTTGCCGTGCAGCTAATCCCTGGTTTCTGGGTTCCCCGCAGAGGAAAGTGGTAGGGAGCACCCCCAGAGGAGAAGTGGGGTTCACATGGGGACCGAGGAGGTGTCAGGAAGGGCATGTCACTCCTCTCCTGCCCCCTAGTCCCCAGAATGTGTGTGGAGCTTCAGGGAGTCCCCGAGCTTCCACAGGAGAAGTCACCCCCTGGGCAGCAGACAGGGGCGGGCTGCTGTCCGCGTCCACGTCAGCCACACCTCCGCTCGGGGGCCAGGTCACCCCTCTCAGCCCGAGCCCCTGGACAGTGCAGGCCTCCGGAAAGCAGCAGCGTGACCCAGGAAAGTAGGAAGAGGAGTGTGATATACAGGCAGCGGTAAGCCGGCCTTCCGCTGAGCCGCGCTCATGTTAACAAATGCCCGGTGAGGTCAGCACACCTCGCAAAGGATGTGGACCCGGGACAGGGTCCAAAGCAAGGCAATAAAGATGATTAAAGGGATGGAAAGTATGTCCTGTGAGGAGAGGCTCCCTGGCCGGGGCCAGGGGAGAGGAGACTGCAGGGAAAGAATGTTCATGCCAGTAAACTCTTGAAAGATTTATACTGAGTGCTGAGGAGCGGCCGCCCCACCTCTCCCGGGCTCTGAACCGGAGCAGATCAGCTGAAGTGAAAGGAGAGAGTGTTCCTCTGGACCACAGACGGGCTCACGGAACAAACATCCTGACCATCAGGGGCTCAGACTCTGCCATTCAGGGCAGCAGACGCGCGCGGAGCCCATGCTGTGCGCCAGGCGGGGCCCCACCTGTATTCACAATCTGGAATATGGTGCAGGACAACGCTCGGCCGCCACAGCCCTGCAGGCGGTGGGGACTTTCAGGAGAAAAGCAGGCAGCCAGACAGTTTCGGGACCTCACTGTCCGAAAGCAGGCAGCCAGCACTAGGGGCCTTCTGATCCCTTCCTGGTGGAGTGAGTGATTCTGATGTTTGAGGGATGGCTGCAGAATATCATCTGGTCAACCCTAACCTTCCAGCTGTTGATGGATAGTTGAGGCCTTGCTGAGCCCCAAACCTGTATACTTGACCTGGATGGTTAACACTTTTGTAGGTTAACCTTCCTGGTCGTGGGGCGTCAGCCACACCAAGAGAGGCTTGCGTTCCTTGGGTGGCAGGGTGGGGAGGTGACCGGAATCAGGTTTGGTGGCCGAAGGCACAGCCAGCATCTGTCTGTGTCAGGCCTCTGATCTCTCCCCTTTTGCTGCAAGGGAGAGAAGGCGCTGTTTTCCCTTTTAACAGAGGAAATAACTGAGGCCAGGGACACCAGCCAAGGTTGTTTAGCTCAGAAGCAGCCGAGCTGAACTCCCCTATGCTGACTGCGGTTCTCGGCCCTTTTGACTCCACAGCCTCCAGTGGACCTGTGATCTAGAAAAGACCTAGAGCAGTGAGGTGGTGGAGGCGGAACTGGGGTGGGCTGGTGGTGGCTGCAGTGTCACGTGAAGGGAGGTGGTCGGCTCCATCCCCTGCTGTCTCCGAGGCTCTGCGGGGCTCTGTGGCCTCCCCTCTGACCGCAGAGCAGCTGGACTTGGTGTCTGACAGCTGTGATCACCCACCCGGCAGCCAGGTGGGTCGCGGATCCTGGGGGTGTCTGTGTTTCACCCTGAAGCCTGAAACAGGAATTTCTAAACCGGGCTCTAGAGCCCTAACCCTGACGGAAGTCTAGATCATATCTGAGTTCCCCATGGCTCCTTGAGGTCTTGAGTGGGCCCTGACTCCTTTTGTTCTCCAGTTCAAGTCTGGGGCACAAGCCCTGGAATTAGATGTGGGACGTGAATGCCAGCTCTGCTGCTCGCGACCTCCATGATTTTGGTAAATTACTTCGTACCTTGAAAACTTTATCTCTTTCTTCTGTAAAATGGGTTCACTAATTGGGAAGCTTAACCAAGCTCATCCCTGTAAGGTCTTAGCGCCAGCCCACTCTTCAGATCGGGGGGAATCCGAGGTGCTCGGAAAACACCGTAAGGCGGAAGTGGACTGCAGATGTCTGCCAAGGCGAGGCGGGGGGCCAGGGGAACAAGGGGGGCTGTCCCAAATCCCCATGGGTGCCAGGTTTGCTTGTGAGCCCAGCGAGATTTCCTTGCATCCCCTTCAGGGGTGGGGCACCTGGGATCAGTTGTTTCTCTTCTCGGAATCAACTTGAGAGCTCTGCCCCCACAGTCAGGGGGACAGGGACGGGGGCCCCCAGGAGCAGCCATCTGCAGACTCTGCGCCCACGTTCTATGCGTGGCTCCGAGGGCCTCGGTGTCTGAAACTGACTCGTGGGCGTCTTTTCCTCATTTTGCAGAAGGAAAAGGTTAAGCTCGTGAACGGTTCAAAGGTTTTCTCCTTTAAAAATGTTCTCAAAACACGGGCAACTGGTAACCGCTTGTTTATTTTGGGGAACGAGTTAAAGATGTTTGCCGATTTCAGACAGAATTATGCGTCTCACGATATGAATGTGCTAAATGAGTGTTTCGTGCGTTCCTAAAAGAGCAGCCTGCCTCTGGGTGCTGTGTCCCCACTGGGGCCGGACACCCACTGATGGAAGTGGGGGCCATGGAGGCTCGCGCACTGGGGCACTCCCTGCCCTCAGGCTGCAAGGGGGTGGGGGTGGGGGCGGCAGACACTGGAGGGCTGAGTCCTGGCCGAGCCGCTGACCCGCTGCTGGTGTTGACCTTGAGTGAGGTCTCACCTCCAAGGGGATTTCCTTCATTCCCCCCCACCAACTCCACCCCTACTGCTTCTGAAGGAATGGGCATCTGAGGCCAAGGATGCAGGTCATGGCCTGTGTTCCCGGGGAAGCGGGGTCTGGGATGAAGATGAGCTGGCAGGATTCTGACTCAGGAGTGCCCTTAGGGTCCCAGAAGGAAGGGGAGCGGATTGGACAAGAGGGGGCCATGAGCTGCAGTGATGTCTGGGTAGGGAGTTCTGATTCTATGAGGAGTCCTAAAATTGGGGTGACACTCTGTAGAATTGTCCCCAGATGAAGAAAACAGGCAGGTCTTTGTATCCCTGTGTCTGCTCTCGTCATCTGATGAGGACAGCTTTGACCTTGAAATGGCGGCTCTCCACCCCAGTTTTTGTAGGGCCGACCGCTGAGGACTGTCTATCATGGCACATCCAGCAGCCCCGGGTGCATGTGTTGTTCTTGAACCCAGCCCTGGGCGCACATCATAGCCAGCACTGCGGGGAAGCACTCTCGAACTCTCCAGCTTGGATTGATGGAGCAGTGCTCCGGGCTCCAGTCTGTGCTCCAGAGAAAGCAGACAAGAGCCCGGCCATAACCCCTGCTCTCAAGGGTCTGAGGCAGAGCTTGCACAGCGGGCCCCCAGAAGCCACCAGTGCATGGCCCATGACTATGCAGCATCCTCGATTCCTCAAGGAGGTTCCAAGAAAGGGGCCAGCGGGGGTAATTATGGGATGCTTCCTGGAGGAGTTGGGCATTGAACTAGCCTTCAGTTGCAAGGAGGACTTGAAAGGGAGATGGGAAGCCGTTAAGGTGAGGGGACTGTGAAGCCTTAGTGAAACAGGTGTAGGAGTGGGGATTCCCACTGCCCTGAAAGCCACACTCACAAAGCTCCCTAGAAACAGAGCCAGCCTCTACCCACAATTGAGAAGGAA